TTCTTCTTCTTCTTCTTCTTCTTCTTCTTCTTCTTCTTCTTCTTCTTCTTCTTCTTCTTCTTCCTCCATAACTTTTCATTGTGGCAAAATAGCAGTATAATTCTTTTCTGTGGTTCTGAGAATTGAACCCAGGGCCTTGCTCACTCTAGACAAAAGTTCTATCACTGAGCTACATCCCCAGTCCTATTTTTACTTTTCACGTTGAGATAGGCTCTCACTAAGTTGCCTATACTGACCTTGAACCCGCATATACCCCCAGGGCATGCTTTAAACGTGGCGTTCTCCTGCCTCGGCCTCTCAAGTGGCTGGAGTGACAAGCCTGTACCACCACACTTACCTACAGTATAACCATTTCTACCATTGCGTCGTTGGGATCTGATGATCTGGGTTTGAAGTACCAGGGATTGAATGCAGGACAGCAAGTCCTCTGTTAGCGTGAAATGCCAAGGCCCAAATAGCAGCACAGCAGACGGGGATGGGGGTGGGAGGGCCTGTTTCCACCCTGCTCAGCCTCTTCCTGGGACAAGCTGCTCAAATTCTCTGGGTGGTTGGAGTTGGCTACCTTCCTGCAAGGCTAATGACAACCGCTGAGCTTGCTGGGGGATGGATGAAAGGGGTGAGGGTGGCTGCCCCGGGTAGCTGCCATCTCCACTGTCCCACCCCTTGTGGGATCACCTAGCCATGCTCTCCTTCCTACCTCCCTCCCTCCAATCTCCACGCAGGCAAGGAGAGCTGCTTTGAGAGAATCATGCAGAGGTTTGGCCGAAAAGCTGTCTACATCGTCATAGGCGATGGGGTGGAAGAGGAGCAAGGAGCCAAAAAGGTACCCAGGGTCTGTGCATCCTGCCTGCAGCTCTTTCTTTCCCAGGCTGCCTTGCACCACATCTTGGGCTCTGCTCTCCGAGGCTGCTCATGTTTGCAGATCCCAGAAGCATCCCGAGTAATTTCCTCCCACAAATCCCCCTTGTGGCCCTGGCCACTGCCCCTGGCAGCCTGGCCCGGTTCTGCACCCCAGGGATACTGAGGACCAGCAGGGCCAGTGCACGTGCGGGCGTTTTATTTCATGCTCAGGGACGGCAGGTTCCAAGACCGCTTCCCTGCTAATAAAGGCAGCACTAGGCTAATGAAAAGACAATCCCACATCTGTGATCTCAGCCTCCAGCAGGGCGCAGGGGGCCTCTCTTGGAAGAGAAACAGCTGCCCAACCCTGGATCTGGCCTATCAACAACACTCCGAGAGCCCCAGCCCCCCACCCCAAGGCCAGGCCCGATCCCAGTTAATGTCAGGAAGCTTAATTCAGGGACCTGCTTTCTCCCTTGGCTCCCATTTAACATGTCCCAAGGAACTGCAAATGTGCTGGGGGGGGGGGGTCCCAGTGGGAAAGCTCAGATGAGGCAAGGTCCCCAGGAGGCTACTCTGAAGTTCTCTCCCTAACAAAATGATTCCTGCCCCCTCCCACCTCAGCTAGGTCCCCTGGCCTTTGACTCATGGCTGCACATTCTCCCTCCAGTTCCCCTTGTTCTCTCACATCACAGACCAGACAACGGCCCCCGGGTCCCCCCTCCCCAGCCAGCGTGAACACTGTGTTAGCTGAGCACCTGCTTTGTGCCACCCCCACCATCCTAGGCACAAGGTCCTGCCCTCACCACCCAGCGGGCACACAGCCCGGGGAACAAACAAGGGCAACATTCGTGACGGGGTGTGGCAAGAAACTCGGAGGGAAAAGAGGCAGAGAGTGGAAGTGGGGAGAGGGAGGGTAGCAGGGTGAGGGGGCAAAAGGTCCAGGCAGTAGTCAAGGCGGGCCTCGCCTGAGAAGTGAAGGAAGACAGGGCGGCATGTGAGCCAAGCCAGTAGCAGGGAGGAAGTGTTCTGAGGGGAAGTGAGCTATCTGCAGGCTACAGCCAGCCAGGCAAAGGTGCTGCCACAGCGGGCGAGCACAGAGGGGCCAGAGCGGCCACCAGGGAGCCACCCAGACACCAGAAGGGCCGCATGCAATACCAATACAGAAAGAGACTCTTTCCAAAGCGTGTCTCTCCAACTTTAAATGCCCCACATGGGACTGGGGCGATGGCTCCATTGTTGGAGTGCCTGCTTTGTGGACGTGAGGACCCGAGTTCAGATCCTCTGTGCCTTATGTGAAAAGTCGGAGGGAGGGAGGCCACAGGAAGGGGATGTGGGAAAGATGGATCCCAGGCTAGCTGAGCTCTGGGTTTAGCCAGGAGACCCTGTCTCAAAAACAAACCAAAAGAGGAAGACAGTAGCCATCTTCACCGGCCAGGACACCCTCCCCTTCAGCCACCAGCAGAGCAGGAAACCATGAATGATCATCCTTCGAGGCCTGAAGCAAACCTTCGCCCTTCCCTGGGCACCCCAACCCACTTCCTGCCACCCAAACAGAGGCTGCCTCGCTCTGCTCCCTGCTTCCCTCGGGAGGTTTTGCCTGAGGATGCCGCTGTGCCCTTCGGGAGCAGAGGGTTCATTCCTCACTGGGGTCGCTGGGCACCTCGGGCCCTGCCGATGGGGTCTGGGGCCTTCGGGGTGGCTGGGCGACTCTCCTGAACACTTGTAACCGGCCGATTTCCGTCCCAGCACAACATGCCTTTCTGGAGGATATCTTGCCACGCTGACCTGGAGGCGCTGAGGCACGCCCTGGAGCTGGAGTACCTATAGCGGCGAAGGGCTGCGGCCAGCACCTGTCACGCGCCAGCCAAGCCTCTGTCACCTCCCTCCGAGACAGCCCTAGACACCGGAAACAGGGTAGGGGCCCTATGCCCAGGGGACACGCCCACGGCCATCTCAGAAGTGTCCTCTTCCTTGAGGACTCGCTAGTCGGACTGTGCTATGAAGCCCGGAGACCCAGACGAGGGAGCACAGGCTGAGGGGAGAGGGGTGTGGGAGGTGGTTTGGTTTGCTCTCTTTTAATTTATGGACTGATCCCATTACCCGAGCCACCCACTGTTCCCTGGGCTGTAGTTTCTCGGTTGTTGGTCTGGTCTGGGATTCTAAACTGCCTGTGGGGTCGTGAGTGCCCAGCTCTGTGCTTCAGGGACAATCATTCTCTGGGTGGTGGTGAGGGAGGTGATCTGGGGCTGTGGGGAAGCCTGTTGCTTACATTTTTTTTATTTTCCAAGCCCTTCCCTGATTGTCATGTGGACAGTGTGCGTGCCTTATGCCGCCATCTTGTTTTGTAGGAAAAGGGGGACTCTGGGAAGGAAGAGAGATGATGATGATGATGGATAAAGGCATTAAATAAAACCACGTTTACATTTAAATTGGAAGAGTGTGGTGACCTTTACCCTCTGTTTAGGCTTCCACACATTAGCAGTTTTAAGTTGCAAAATAATAAAATCCAATTTGAACCTGAACTGGTTTCGGCAAAGTGGGGAGGGGCCTTGGTTGTAGCACACAGTACCCACAGCTCCTTGGCCAAATCTGAGCCATGTTTTCTCCAGGAAGCTGACTTTAGGGGTGTTGACATCAAAACAAAACTCACAGCTCTCACTTCAAAGGACATAAGAGACAGCTCAGTTCGTTCTACAGCCAAATAAGAGTGGCTGTGTTCCTGGAGAACATGTTATCCTAGGTCCCATGTGCCAGCATGGTGACAGATCCATGAAGGTCTGTAACAACACAATAAAGACAGTCATAAACTCGGACATGTTGAAAAATGCACAGGGTGGGAACAGCAGAGCTGTTACAGGTGGGTGGGTTACAGCAGAGCTTGGCCACCTCTGCTGCTGGCCTCAGGTGCCTTCTGATGACACGCTTAGCTTCCAGGCGGGTGAAAGTCAATGGTCTGGTAAGTTAATACAGTCCAGGAAGTTTCAACTGTTGGTCACAAAGATATTAGGTGGGTAAGTCCACTGTGGGCAGTACTAGGCAGGTGGGCCTGGGCTCTGTCAGAAAGTTAGCTGAGCAAGCCAGGAAGAGGAGGCCATGGCCTCTCTTTAGTTCCTCCATTCAGGGTCCTGCCTTGGTTTTGTCAATGATGTGCCTAGAAGTGTGAGCCAAATAAACCTTCTCCTTCCCTAAGAAGCTTTTGGCCAGTGTTTTCACACAGCAGCAGAAAGCAAAGTAGGACACAGTCATAGCCACATGGTGAGACTCACCCAACAGCATGGGTCTCAGACTTCATCCCTAAGTGATGGTCAGGTGGGTGGTCAGGTGGGTCATGGCCAGTGGGACAAGTGTGGGAATGGACGGTTAAGCGGTTGGGTCAGGAGTGGGCCCATGTTGAAGAGAATGGATACTCGAGCTTTTGGAAGATGGGAAGATGGATCGGTACCTATGCTGGGTGATGGCTGGATGGCTGGGTAGGTCATGGGTGCATAGATGAACAAAGAGTTGGGTAGATAGTTGATGAGTGCTTGGGTGGTGAAGTGAATAATAGATGGACAATGGTTTGGATGAGTGGTTAGAAATATGGATAGGGGCCTGGAGAGATGGCTCAGAGGTTAAGAGCACTGGCTGCTCTTCCAGAGGTCCTGAGTTCAATTCCCAGCAACCACATGGTGGCTCATAACCGTTTACAATAAAACCTGGCGCCTTCTTCAGGTGTGCAGGCAGAACACTGTATACATAATAAATAAATATTTTTTTAAAAAAAGAAATATGGATAAAAGAAGGGGTGGAGAATGAGTGGGTAATAAGCCACTTTGGAAGAAGTGTCGGTCACAAAAGCAACCTAAGGAAGGGAAGGTGCTCCAGCAGGAGCTGGAGGCACTGGTCACATGGCACCCACAGTCAGGAAGCAGAGAGAAAGGAAGGCTGGCGCTCTCCTCACTGTCTCCTTTCTATGCAGTTGGGAACCCCATCCAATGGGATAATACTGCCCGTATTCGTGGTGATTCTTTGGCCTCAGTTAGGGTTTCTGTTGCTATGTTAAAACACCAGGACCCTTTAAAAGTAGCTCGAGGAGGAAAGGATTTCGTTCAGCTTCCAGCAATCTGGTCTGTCACTGAGGGAAGTCAGAGCAGGAACTTGAGGCAGGACCCTGGAGGCAGGAGCTGATGCCGAGGCCATGGGGGAATGGTGCTCACTGGCTTGCTTCTTCAAAGTTTGCTCAGCCTCCTTTCCCATAGCACCCACAACCCCCAGGTGAGGGTGGCCCCACCCATAGTGAGAGCTTGACTGTCCCACACCAATCAAGAAAATGCACCACAGTCTTGCCCACAGGCCAATCTGAGGGAGCACTTTCTCCACTGAGTTTTCCTCCTCTCCAACAACGCTCACTTGCGTCAAGTTGACAGAAAACTAACCAGGACGTCTTCCCACCTCAGTTAACCAAATCTAGAACGTTGCCCCAAGGACACGCCCAGAGGTGTGTTTCCACAGTGACTGACAGCTGAAGGGTGGCAGAGAGAAATACAGTGGTGGCCGGATGGAAGATGTAAGGCAGCTTCTCAGTGAGACAGACAGGGACACGGAGGCAATGTCGGAAATGCACAGGCAGCGATGTGGAGGGAGTGTGATGGGCAGACAGATGGACAGCGCAGGTGTGATCCCCAAGCCGTCTCACTGTCCGGTTCCGTCTTCAACACTCCACCAGCCTGGGTTTCCCCGGGAGGAGTGGAAGGATCTTATGGGCTGAACTGGCTTCCAGTAGGTGTGGACAGGAACCAGAGCCAAGCCACCCTGGGAATCCACGCCGTGCATATGCAGGGAGTCCAGTGTACCAAGGGTGTCATACCCTCCTACACGCAAACCACATGTCACTTTCCCGTCGCCACCACTCTTACATTGAAGTAACTTCTGTTAAGAGTTGAGCAGGGAGGTGGAGGAGGGGAGGCCTGGAAAGATGGCTCAGTGGCTAAGAGCACTGGCTGCTCTTCCAGAGGACCTGGATTCAATTCCCAGCGACCACCTGTCTGTGGCTGTAGTTCCAGGGCTTCTGACACCTCAGACATGCAGTCAAAAATGCCAATGAACAGAAAATAAGAATAAATTACACAGAGAGAGTCGAGCTCTCCAGTGTCTCTGCCTCTCTAGTGCTGGGGTTAAAAGTGTGCTACCATGCCCAGATTATTTTTTTATTTTTAAAATAGGGTTTTACTGAGTAGCCCCAGACTGGCCTTAAACTCTCGGCAATTCTCCTGGCTCGGTCTCCAAAGTGTTGGGATCACAGACATGTGCCACCGTATCTGGCTCAAAAGATTTTAACTTTTAGTACAAGGCATGGCTCTGGTTTCTCACAGATAGAGGCTACTGTCCTCTCCAGGCTAGGGCGATGGGCCGGGAGGAAGCAGCGGGATTACACGCTGTAGGTGACCCAGAATGGAGGGCTCTGTGGACTGTTGTTCAGACAGAAGGAGGAAGGCCAGAGGAACCATTCTAAGCACAAAAATCCACGGGGGAGGGACAAAGGAACTTTCAGGGAGTGCTGTGGGCCAAGACAGAGGACACGTGCAGCGCAGCTGGCCTTGGGCTGGGGATTTTATTTTAAGTCTCTGGAAAAGACCTGGGAGGATGGAGGCCGGACACCATGAGGTCTGACTGATGTTTTCCACACACCCTGGTTTGTGGGGAATAACGGTGGCTTCGCCACATTGCCTGGTCACAGGGCTCCTTCCTGAGCTTCAAATTTTATTAGGTTTTTCATTTTTATGAGCAACATAAACGTTACGGCACAAACCCCAAATCTCACCATCCTGCTATATTAACATGACGTGTTTACATGGTGGTTTCATCGCACAGATCAAAACAGAACGGCGTCCAGAAGGCCTGCCTGCTCCTATACCTCCACAGCACTGGTTTCTGTCTCTCAGCCTGGTCCAGAACATGGGCTCCTGCAAACTGTCCCCTTGGTACCCAGCTTCCTTCGTGTGGAATGTGCAGAGGTGCAAAGATGTGAAGGCTTGAGCCCGCAGTGCATTCTGACTAAAATGCAACCTTCAGTTGGGAGGTCTGGACCTACTAGCTGTGTTGGCATGTGCCTGTACCCCCAGAGGCAGGGGTAGGAGGATCATGAGTTCAAGGCCAGCCAGGACTACATAGGGAGATTTTGTTTTTAAAAAAATTACAAAGATGACAGATAGCTAGATGATAAATAGGTTGATTGATGATAGATAGATAGATAGATAGATAGATAGATAGATAGATAGATAGATAGATAGCAGATGATAATTTTATAGGCTGATTGATAACTGATAGATAATAGACTGAGAGATAGAGTTCTTTCTAGACTAAATCGTCAGATCACTTTCCACAAGGCAATACCATGCAGCCAGCACCAGCATTGCTATAGCTGGAAGTGACCACTAGATGGCAGTGTGAACTCAAGCTGGCCAAGCTGGGGCACCAGGTGCGCGCAATAGACTGTGTCTCCCCTTGAAAGGGCAAAGAGCAGAGAGCATGGACCAGCACAGATGCCCTCGAGCCCAAGAGTTCACACAGCTCACCTTTGTCAGCGACCCGATCTCAGACACGACCTCTGTGAGAGACAACGGAAACGGTGGACTCACGGACAGCTCAGACATGGACACTCACATTTTCCACAATAAAATTGTCACCATAGGTTAGACTGTTTGGGGAGACGTTATTTACTTTATTGTTTATTTATTTATTTATTATTGGGGGAGGTCCATATTGGGCTTGGCTCACTGCGGCAGAGCCTTGTGTTAGCGTGGCCTGGCCTCCATGCTGGGCGGTAGAGGCTGGCCTCGTTCTAGGATTGTGATAAGTCTGCTCAGCCCAAGTTGAGGGCCCTGCATGGTAGTCTGGGCTAGACCACCTCCCAGCTGTGAGGTCATGGGCTGGCCATGGCACCTGAGCCTCATGTGAAGTCCTTTCATTTTGTTATTTACCATGGCTTGTTCAAGCTCGTTGTTTCCCAGATGGTGGGCTGTGACACCGATTCAGGGGTAAGGATGGAAAACAATGGTACATGTGGCCCCAGCTTTCGGGGAAGCCCCCTCGGAAGCGGGGCCTCAGGGAAGGAAGTGCGTCACCAGAGACGGTCCTTGATCTTTGGAGTCCAGCTTCATTCCTGTGGGCTCTCTGCCTCCTGGATACACTGTGACAGCCGCCTTGCGCATTCCTGCCACCGTCCCCCACCACCCTTCTCAAGCTGCGATCCAAAAGGAGCCCTCAGAGTCTCTGTGTTGCTTAGGTTGACTTGAACCTCTGGGCTCAAGCAATCCTCCTGCCTCAGTCTCCTGCTTGAGAAGTCACAGGCCTGCACCACCGCGCCAGGCTGCCACATTGATTTCCATCATGAAGGACTGCGCCTCATGTATCCGCGCTTCTTGGAAATGGA